AATTTGTGCGATTTATTAAACATACACCATTCATACACCACTTGAATATTCACTTTTTAAAATTGAAATTCGACGGAAATGAAATGAGAAGTTCAATGGCAAGCAGATCAGTAAACCCTTAAGCCAATAGAAGCATCGAATCTAAGCTGAATTCACTCACGAAGTGAACAGAAACGGTTAGAATTTCAAAAAGGCACACAACACGCAAAAAACGCACAACGAACTGAACGAAATAGCATTTCACTGCCGAATGACGAACCGAATCCAGTTGAAAATTACTTTTATACGTGCGAATGTGGATAGGATATATTTCGGTATAAAATAAATCGCGGCAACGTGAAAGCGGAGAAACGCTTCTAGCCGATCCACCGAATTGATTCGCAGTGATCGTGTGTTTGTGCATCATTTGATTGAAAAAGCGGGATGAATGTGTTGCGAACAGTCAACGTCATGCGCACTCCACACGCCATAGACGATGTTGATTTTGGCAATTTCCATTCCGACAAATGCACGCTTTCTCCTTCGGCCATTCGAAGAGGAGATCAAAACATGGAGAAAAAATGCATTTGAATTCACATCACGTTACATAGCGACCGAGAGCGAAAGGAGAATTTAAAAGACAACAGCTTCTCGTCTCTTTTTTCAAGCTCGTTTAATCACACACCGTCACACACTCTTTAATACCTTTGAATATAATGAGAGTTTCGGGCATTTTCATGCCGCTTGCGGCTCATTCGCGAATAGATTTATTTTTCCGGCATTCGTGACGCTGTCTTTTTTGTCACCGTGAATGTAGCTGGTTGGTGCTGGTTAGAGAATATTAAGATGCAAATATTATGCGAATAATCTCTCATGTAATTCATCTCCTCTTATCGAACAAAGTCATTTTTCATTTTTCTGTATGCACATAAACTGTACGCAAATGTGAGGCATTTCATATACATAATTTCAACGGTTTACTCTTCACATTTCAATCGACTCGAAGCGAATATGTTTGCATGCTGAATTTGCATTCAGTAATGCAGATATAAAGTAGAATCCAAGGCATTTTGCATAATTAACGTCATATGATGAATGTGTAATGCGATATCAATAGTCGAACGTGCATGATAGACGGTTATCATCTTATCAATATGTGTGAATGACGCTTGATGAATTAAAATTCCGATTGTGGTGTCATTACGTTGATCGTAGAAAAAGGATAGAAATAACACTGAATGCTGAAAAATATTAAAAATACCGTTGAATGAAAAAAAATTGATGAAATAATTTTTTTTATTATATATATTGTGTAATCGAAACACCGCCCAAATGTCATAAACTGTCAATCATTTATATATCCACTATCATTATTAATCCATTTAAATTGAAGTATTTTCCACCAAAACTGAGAAATATATCAGTTACGCCTGGATATAGAAGAAAATCACTTTTGGGACTTGTTTGTAAATTTCAGCTAATATATCGACAGGAATAAGTTTTTAAAAAATCTCTGACACTCAATTTTATTTAGTTTTTGGCGAAGAATTGAATGGTAGTTGCAGTTTGCATTTCTGACGAGCCATTTTGAAAAATTTACCTAATTGAAGTGAAAGTAATAAAATGAAATCCAATCCTATTACTTTTAATTCAACCAGGTAAATTTTTCAAAATGGCTCGTCAGAAATTCAAATTGCAACTACCTTATCCCAGCTAGCACAACGCAATCTAGACTCATTTGAGAAGTAGGTTGCGTATGGGATTCATAGAGGCGCCATCTGTTGCCATGCTTTTGAACTCTTATGTATTCCATTGACTTCAATGATATATTTGGGAAAGATAGTGGCGCCACGCTTTATTCGTAAAGTTTTAATAGAAAGTTTATACGCTGACATCAATGTATTTACATTGACTGTATGGTCCCATTGGCACAACGGTTCTTGACCCAGTTCTTACCATAAATTCTTACTGCAGATTTGATGATATTTGTTGTTCTTACCCTATTGGATTGTATGAATGAGGTAAGAATAAGCCGATATGTTCTTTTCTCACTTAAATTTCAATTTCAATACACTTAAGCAATGCTACAAATATTCTGTTCTTAGCATGTGCAAGTATTCCATAAGAGAATGTTGTTCCACATTCTTAGCATGTCCTCTAATGTGACATATTCTTTAGATGAAGGTATATAGAACACAATCAGATTGGCAATTTATAATTTTCATTAAGATCACACAAAGTACATGATGCGAACAATAATAATAAAACGAATTACATTCGTTATCCAAACTTTTCCGCTCCGCAGCAATTTAGTTTACCTCCCGCTTAATGTTCAACCAAAATTTCAATGAAAACTTTTTTCATAGCACTTCTGAGCTTGAAAAATAACTATTTCGACCATTTTCCTCTTATATTCGACCATTTTCCTCGAACAGAATTTCAAACATTTCAAGAAATGTCGATTTTGGACCAAATTTATGGGCAAGTAGGTGTTCGGTTGTTCGAAGACTCCCATTATTTTTGCAAAAAAATGGCAGTTTGCCTCGACCAAAATCCTGCAAAATGCTTTTTTTTTGGTATTTCCCACACAAAAGTGTCATTTTTCAAGGTTTTTCAGATCCTCAGTCGGAGGCTTATGGTACAAAATTTTGATCTTCAATTTTTTTAAAAGTTTCTTGAACCTTCTCTTCGGTTATAACATTTCAATGCGAATTCCCAATAAACTAATAAACTTATTCAGACCACATAGCACTTAAATTCTTCGCTGGTCGTAGATCCAGTTTCTTACATGGATCGCCAATTGTTTATAGTCGTGTTGCCAATTTCTTGGTATGGATGCAAAGCAAAATAACCAATCAATGCACGTATGCACCTAAACAAGCTGTCCATGGCGAGAACTTAGAACAAACTTGTGTCTTCAACCAAGAATAATAGAGTGAAAGTTAATGCGGTTAAGGAGTTATGTACATAAATTTCCAAATTGGAATTCCATTTCTTTCATATCAAAAGTGAACGAATAAAGAAAAGAACTGTTGAGCTGCATTTCATTGACCTTATGATTTATTGTGGCTATAACCATTTAAAAAGATACATCAAAAAGATCAGTAAGAATTTTTAAATAAAGGACAAGTCCCAAACTTTTGAAAGCTGATCATCTTATGTCAAAATCAACAATTTCAGACGCACTCTTAGAATTTTTCAACATAAGAATGACATAAATACGTAGAAGCTTCTGAGCTACCTAACGAACGCACAAACGAATACACAACAACGGAGAAAACACAAGCAAGAGAATGTGCGTGCTACACTCATTCGCCTTCTACTCGGTTCGTTCATCGAGCGAACGGTTTCTGTGTAGATATGACAATAAGGTTCAACTGGACGAGCGCACGTTCAATATTGTCTCATATACACAGACACTGTTTGCGTTGTGTATGTATGCTCGATGAACGAACCGAGTAGAAGCGAATGAGTGTAGGGTGCACAGGCACACTGCACATTCTCTTGCTTGTGTTTTCTCCGTTGTTACTTTTTCGCAGGACCCGATGGTCCTAAAGGCAAAGTATTGATTTTGGCTCAAATTTTAACACCTCCCAAAAATATGATTTCTATCCATTTTCAAGGCCGTAGAACACGAAAAAATGGTTTTTAGGGTGATGTTTTGTGGGTCTTTCGTACGTCGTACGTGCCGCACAATCTTTTTATATGTTCGGAGTGTTTGAGCTATTGGCTGGAGATACTCCATTACTTTTTTTGTGGTGTGTTTGGGACTTCAAGAGGGTGGTTTATAAGTATTCACCATGTATTTCTTACGTTCCAAAAATTAATTATAGCCGTTTGAAAATAAGTGATATTTTCCCAATTTTGTCCCGACTGTTTGAGCTATTGGCTAAAGATATTCATTTCCTTTTTGTGATGTGTTCGGGACGTTAAGAGCATGGTTTATATTGTAGAGATATCGCCAGTGGAACGATTCGCCCCCACTACCCCTATGAACTGTTCAGCAAAGTTAATTTTTTCATAGTCAAATAAAATATCCTTTTCAAATGGTTAAATTTAAAACTTTCTAAATATTATTCATCATTTAGTTTCAATACCTTTGCTTTGTTGGATATAGCTTCAATTTAGCTATTTAATGCTGGTGAAACTAATCTCGTAAACCCTTTCATTCATTGAAATCAACACTTAAAATAAATGACTCGGCGACATAGTTGCTTAGAACATTAGTGTCAGTTTAAACGCTGGTCGGAATATGTGCACACATTTTTTCTAATGAAAGACAACAAATCGGGAAGAACGGCAAGAATGAAGTTGACTTGTCTGTCTCATGTTTTTCTTCTCATCAAGATCATCTTCATGTTATCCGATGTTTTCGGCCAGTTTCAGTCATTATTTTTTTTTGTATCCTATTTGGGGAAAACATATAAAATCCTCTGGAAAACAAAGTTTAACTTGACGCCAATAGCAATAAATTCGCTGTAGCGTTCGAAGAAAAATTACTGGGGATAATGAAAATGATTGACGATGACGATAGCCTGTACTTGAGACAATGAGCGCGTATAGTTGCCAAATGGTTGAAAGAATTTTCCGCTCGCGTCGTTTGCAAATCAAGATTAAAGTTAATCCCACCTCTCATGACAAATAGCGTGAAAATAACACTGTGTACTACAACACACACTGGCAGCAACAGCAGCAGCAGCAAAGAAGCGCCGTTGGCTTGAGTACGGTTTATCCAGCAGAGAGCATCGTACAACAGTAAACAGGAAAAAAACATCGTTTGATTGAAACAAATAACTGGCAAATTGCGTGAACTGTGTGTAGAAACTTCGTAAACGTTTTTGCTTGGTCAGTAATATGTATGAAAATAAAAACCCAGAGACAATTCCGACTTTTCAGATGTGTTCAGCGGTTACGGGAGGAGAGTTCATCACTTCAAAATGCGGTAGCATTAAATTTACTCAGTGTTTCGACGACAGTTGTGTTGAATATCTCGAGCAAAACAGAAGTTTTCAAGTGGAACGAACACTCACGAAAAAAAAAAACATGTGTCGTTATACATTTCTGCTAATATTTTTGTATTCTTCCCTAATGGAGCATCAATCGATTGAATTATATGATCGATTGTACCACTTAATCGACTACGTCAAAAATCATACGGAATCACAAAAACCGGACCTTATGCTGGGCATTTATCTGTGTGAAGGTGACGAAAACATAGCAAAAGAAAAACCGAGACCGACTGCACTTTTGTGTGGTTGATCTGTGATTTCTGAACATTTTAAAAGCGTATGAATTTTCCATATGTTCCCACAGCGCAACTGAAGGCAATGCATTTCAACGGAACTGGCCCACACGACAAGCTGGAGCAAGTGTTGGATAATGTGAAACACGTACGTGAGCAATATGAGAATAAAGTGGCCGAGCGAGAGCATTCAATATGGGAATTGAATGTGCACAATTCAATTGGTTTGTCATCATCAAGTTCATCATCATCATCAAAAAAATTTCCCCCTTGTCAAAGCAACCGGTGATTAATTGTGTTTATTGGCATTTTCTCTCCCGTCATTTCGCCTCGAGTGCAGTTGTTCAACACTTATTGAATTTGAGTTTGTGGGTCACATCACTTGAATCAAACAATGATGGTCTGTTTTTTGGAAATCTAACAACCAACTATCCGCTGTCACTAACGCTCGACAATTTCGCCGATCACATTGATGATGGTGCACCGTCGCCAAGCGAATCAGGTTTTTCAATATTTATTCGGGCAAATTGCTGATTTCACACACACACACAATAGGTGTGTGCATTACGTATGCACAATATGTTTAATCGAAATTCGGGGTGGTTTTATTTGTTTGTTTTAGATGAGTGTTTAGCCGAACTATTGAATTCCATACAATGCACGATAAGTGATCGGTGTCTACAAATTATGTCACTCAACAACGAATCACACGGATACCATTTAACACACAAGTATGTGGAATGTGGATTGTGTGAACATGTGGATAGTGTATATAAATGTTATCGATTCACCGTTTACACAATATAGGAAGATGGGAACACAATATTTGAATATATTAAACATGTCGATTTAATATAAATTCAAGTGATAGAATCGTCATATTTTCAATAGAATGCACCGCATGAATTTAATTGAAAATTATCATGTTCGATTTCTGTTTTGCAATGTGACAGATTACTCTATTTCATGGTGATGAAGTACCATGATTGTGGCTCTTGTTTACCTGTCACCGGGATGTCACTTGATTTCATGATTTATACATTATGCTCTATGGTGTGGCACGAACGGAATCTCATCATTGAAATGGATATTCCGAACCAATTGAAAGATTTACTCATCGAACAAAGTAAGTTGATGTCATCGGTATCAGGAAATAGTATTCCAAGAGATTGAGTGAGTGTTTAACACGTTTTTTTTGTGGATTTTTTCTTCAGCTCTACTCTGTGGCATAAGTGGGTATGCTGCATTCATTGACGAAACGACTGTTCGAGATATAGTTCAATGGCAGGTCCCCGAGTCCGGTTGCTATGAATACTTTGATGGTGCTCTACCGAATGACAACGATGATATGGACACAAAAAAGCAAAAACGCTCTGCTGCCCTTTTAGAAGACAATTGTTCCGATCATATGACTGGCTTGGCTGCGGCTACATTTGGACTCTTTGCTAAAATTTCCAGCTTCTTTCATGATGAAACTGTTTAAAGATTCATTGAAGACAAAAAATGAAATAAATTTCAATTTAAAACACATTTTGCCCACTTGTTTGATCGATTTGAAGACAATTAAAGTGTCAATAAAAATGATAGCTGCATAATGTTCCATTTCACACCAATTGATTCGCTTTAGTCTATACACAAACCATGCTGTGCTTTTTCCAATGAAAAAGTTTATGGCGCTGCTGTAGCTCTCAAGAAATTGCAGCATGATTACATTAACGAAGGTTGAATTAGAAAAAAAAACATAGCTTTAAATAATTTATTAGGCAGTTACATTGAATGTTTTTTTCGTACCGTTTTTTGATTCTGCTGAACAGATGGATTCGACACGATAGATGAACATGGGCACTTGATAACATGCGTTAGTTACTCATTCCAGAATTATGTGATTTTTTCCCTAGAAATGCGTTATCAACATCTGAATCATTTCAAACTAAACGCAAAAGAAATTTTAATTTGCGTCAAAGTTTCTTAGAAAATAATTTTTTGGAAAATTTTTGAAAAAACGGCGACTCAATGTAGAAAAAATTACACTTGAAAAATGGCCAAGAGTGGACACAAAAATACGATGCATACTAAAAAAAAATTAAAATACACACATAGCGAGAGCGAGAGGAAAAACGTCCAAAAAACAAAAAAAACATTTACGATAACGCTCGCCATATAGCTGGCTGCTATTATCGAAGTGGCTTTTTATTTAATATTTCAGTTCAAGCAGTGCGCACATATATTTTCCATCAGCGACTCTTATCACTCGACCGAGTAGCGAAACGAATTTCAAATACGTTGCAGTGTAAGTTGTTCCATAGACGACAGTGTATTTCATATATTTGTACCCACATTCAACGTTGTTTCGAGCACATACTCGCTGCACACACATGTGCAATTGCGTGTACGTGTGTGTAAGTAAAGTAGCAAATAGCGCGAAGTGAGAGAGCCAAAGGAAACCCTATACACACACTCGCCTCGTTGCTCTCTATTGTTTCTTTTGTATTCAAATATACATACGAATGAAATGATAAACGAAAAAACAAAATAGAACCAGATAAAACATACGGTCTAACGATTCGTTATCACTACGAATCGAGTAGTGCACAGAAATTTGGAGCTATTACATTTTCGTCATGTGTCGTTTCGGTCATAGCAGAGTACAGTTCTTTTGTGTTTGAAAGTGTATCGAGCTGTCATTTTCAGCTTTATTTTATTTTAATTTTTCTTTTTTTTCAATTGATTTCGTTAACATTTTGCAGTTGATGAAAAATTCATTTTTTCTTGCTGACTTACGTCAATGTGATTTCATTGTCACATATTTCGCATAAGAGGAAAACGAAATAGAACGAGTTGAAAACGTTTTATCTGAAAAGAAACGAAAGAAAGAAAGAAAGAAAGAAAAAAAAAATCCGTGCTGATCCATACACATATTGGCGATCATATTCATTTATATACATGCATATGACGAGAGTGACAAGAACTGAAATGATTTGTTCAAGTGTGGTATGTGTAATTGGGCTGCTGTGTGTAATATATTCGGATTCTCATTGTGAGTAGAGCTTGATAGAAAATTGACGATTCGATTAATGCACAATTTATTTATATTCATTATATTTGGGTGCCTTTGTCAAAGCATGACTGTGTATGAAATACGACCGACTATGGTGTATACATCCACTTGAAACATCACCACGATGTGCTTGCAGTTAGCACCTTCAATGCATATTGTTTGATCGCATTTGCGCTGGAATCATTGTCGTATTAATCGAAGACACACAATAAAACTGAAATGAAACGAAACAAAAAATGAAAATAAAAATAAAACTAAATGAAAAAAGAATAAAACGTAAACGGAATGAGAAACGTATTAAGGACCGAATACAACAATAGAAAAATTGAACATTTGTATTGGTGTATATGTCACAAAACGCGCGACAACGACGACGACAGCGACTTGCACACATCGCTATCGCCACCGCCACCGCCACCATCATATACCATTGGGAAATAATACGAAAACAGAAACCGACATACATATCCGCACAGCACTGTGCTGGAGTAAAGAGAGACAAACGTTCGCCACGCATTACAATACACATTACACATCAATGTTCAACTACACATAATCAATCGCTAAAGTAACGGCCACAGTAGCGACAAATAAACGGAACGAACAACAGAGCCCCACACACAAAATGAAGTGAATTACGAGCGGAACGAACGAAAAAAAATAGAAAGAAACAAATTCGTACGATATGATTTTTAGTTTCGCAGTGAAAAAAAATCAATCTATATACGAAATAAAAAGAAAAACAAAACAAAATAATGAAAATATCGAAAAACGAGAACCAAATACGGGCGAAAAGTGAAAAGAGAAACAAATATATTGAAAAGTAAAAATTGTTGTCGGAAAAATTATCATTATCAAGCGTATGGAATAACGTGTACAAAGAAAGAAGAAGAAGAAAAAAAAAATATATATAACGTGAATTTAGTCGTACTTAAGTATTTAGGTCTACGTGGTTTGCAACTTTTCGCCCCAATTAAAAAGTTTTTAATACTTTTTTTTCATCCACTGTACCAAATAAACAACCATTGATTCTATCAGCAGAGAAAAAATCCAACAAAGTGCACTTGAGAATAGAGCCAAATCCAAAAGGGAATTGATTTTACGAAGAGAGAACCGAACGAATTGGCGCTCCAAAGAAAGCGAAGCTGAATGAAAATCACACAAGCGTGATTATCAAAACATATCTCGATCCGCATGTGTTTTAGACGATTTTAAATGAAGAAATTAATGGAGTACCAAGTGTCAATTTTTCACGTCTTACGTTAACAAAAACAAAACACATGTAAGTATCATCAACAGCGCCAGACATAAAAATAACAACAACAACAGCACCAAAAATAAATTTAAATATCTGTGTGTTTTTTTTATCGATGTTTTGAAAATAAAAAATATATGCATTTTCGCTATATTTTCAATGAAACACAAATATCGCAACGTTTTTTCAAAGGAAACTCACATCCGAAAGGAAGTGAATCATGAGTTTGAGTGTTTGTGACCATACGATATGATGGACATTTGAAACTGTTTATCGCAAACAACAACAACAACAACTAAAGACGAGAAAGAAAATACAAAAATTTAAACAAAATGTTCATGAAAACAACAACAGCAGCAACAAAAAAAACATGGTTCTAGTTCAAGTTTTATAACATGTTGATATGTGCGAGGTAAAGTTTTTGTGAAAATGATTCTTTTCGTAAATCTACGTCGTTGATAATTTATTATCCAAAATGTTCTGAACACTCGATTCTCACACAATGGATTCACAGAAGAAAGAAGAAAAAACGTTTTTTCCCTCGTTCGATACGAGGCTCCAACTTGATTGATAATTGAATTATATGTGTGCTAGCGACAAGTTGAGAACGGTGTGTGTATGTAGTCGATGGAATCGTTCTCGTTTTGCGTTATAATTTCAATAAGAAATCTTGGTGAAGTGGTTATGTGATAGCAAATGTTTTGGTAGTCGATTGTCGGTTACACATATGTGTATTATTTTTTCTCATTCTCCAAAGCGCTTCGTTTTTGGTGTGTGTTTTTTCTTCTTCTTCTTCTTCTTCTTCTTCTTCTTCTTCTTCTTCTTCTCTCAAACGTTTGTTCGAGTTTTGTTCGTGTACACAATCAAACCGAGCAACAATTCAAATTGTGCGTGAATATAGAATTATTGTTGGTGGTCTGTTCCTTGTTATTCGCTCTTTTTTGTGTTCAGTTCAGTTTTCATAAAATGTATAAATATTTTACCGGTCAATAGCGTGCAGCACACATACCGTTTGTGTCTATTCTCATCGGGTTGAAACCCCGCCATATTGACGTATGCAAAATAAAGTGAGTGAGTGAGACAAAGAGAGAACAAAAATCGATTTTGATTGGCATTATTCAATCTTAAATTTAAAATATATGGTTATAAACATTTGTGTGCAGTTTTCCTTTCACACAACTGCAACATGTTATTCGAACAACAACGAAAATATTAAAAAAATTTATTATTGTTCCACTTCCTCATTGAAATGCGCTGAAAACGAAAACAAATTGGAGTACACAGTACACGTATTTATATGGTGCCGAAGGAAAAGTGTCATTTGCTTAGAGATAGAGAAAGAGTGACATAGAGAGAGAGAGGAGGGGGGAAGGAGATAGAAACAAAAAGAAACATACACAACATTTCACGGGTGACCGCTTCGTTGTTGCTTCTATTAATGGTAAATGCCGTGTCTGAAAATTTACGGAAAAGTGGACAATAAGTCGAATAAAAGTGCTCGTTTCAGCCAAACCGAGTCAAATCCAAAGCGTATCGTACACAAAATACCGCTCTTGGGCTGAGAATATATTCGTATGTGGATAAATAACGCGCTTCAAATTAATGTTTGATGAATTTCATGAATCGGAAAAGCCCAACTAAACGGAATATGTATACAATTTAGAGACTGTTCCCCAATAAAACGCTTATCAATCTGAGTCAGTCGATTTCATACTTGTTCATAAATGTCGATATTCGTTGCTATATCCGTCCAATTTCATTTTCAAACCCTGCAAATTGGGATCCTCTTAAACGTTTGTCACTTCTTTGCCTTTAATTTTGTCCAAGTACGCATTCCAACTTTGTTTTATTCAATTATTCAGTTCTGGTTTGCCCATTTCTATGCCATGGAATTCGGTGCAACTCTTACTTCTCAATTTATGTGTATTAATAAATGGCTCTGCTTTCATCAAGCTAATAGAATAAAAACTATCTTTTTATGCCATATCAAATAGTGTACATTCAAAGTGTGTGCTAGTGTTTGTACTGTTATTACAATGAATACGTTTCTACGGCTCTGATGTCATGTCAATCATAATCTAAATGTGCGGAGTTGTCTCGGAATTTCAAAGCAAAAATTCGCCTCTAAACTTTGTGCGCTTAAAATGCATTTTGTTCGATGAACCTAGGGGAATCAGACGTATTGCCAATATGAAGAAACGAAAAATAAAATTGTGGAGCAACCATTGCAACGAAATATATGTGAAATTTATTGATAAAACACTAAGCCTTAACGAATTTGAGATAAAACCAACACTTTGATTACGTTTGCTTGAATACACTGCAAAAAACATATTGCTTTTTTCACTCTCTCTCCCTGCTCATTCTTTATTTGTGATGTTTTGAAGCAATATATCGTGGTGTTGCTAGAAAATAAATTCACACATTTTAACACGCTTGGTTTTTGTGTCTTCACATTATGATACGACCGTGTATGTACAAGATGAACGTTGTTGATATTCGGTTTATTTTCGCGACGATATGAATATTCAAAGTGTCTCAGTATTGCAAAATCAACAGAAAAATGTGCCCGTATGTATGGATACCGTGCACATGACATACACACGTACGCACACACACAAATACGTGTGCTCGATTTTGTTAGTGGGGAAACCATATAGTTTACATGGCCCATGGTGCATTTTGCTTAGAAGCAAAGCGTATGTTATATAATGGTTCATATGATCAAAGCTGGCGAAACTGAAAAAAAAAAAATCATCTATACGATAGAACCGGACAAATATGTTAGTGATAATCGTCGCTCTAAACAAAAACACACATATACGCATATCAGCACGCACGCACACAAACAAACACAACGACAGCAATTGCAAGGAAAACGAAATGTGGTTATTATCGGTGATAATCACGAAAATAAGTGAATGACAATGACAAAGACGAATTTGATTCACAGTGGAAAAAAGAAGGCAACAGTATTATTATTATTTTTTTAGTGCCTATTTTCGTTCGCTCAAATGACTCGCAGTTTGTTTTTGTTGAAATACATATCTCCGTGTGTATGATTTTGTCATTCGCTTGACGTTCGAATTCCTTCATTTTTTCTTCGATGAAATGAAACGAGTTTTGTTGCTTCTTTATCGTATTTTCTGTTTTATCATATCAACTGATTTGAGTACAAACAATATGCCATCATATTTTGCCCATGAACAATCAAATTTACGATATTGCATGTGTGCATGGACTTTAAAACGTCATGATCATCATTTTATACACAGTTTAAACGCTCCGAATGATTCAACACAATCGTAAACACACAAATGGTCAAGTAAATTTTGGAAATATTTTATCGCTGAATTGGTTTGATCTGCCAATCACATTTAAGCGACTTCAATCGATTAAAAATGATTGTTCACACACTAGACTAGGACAAAAATCGTGCAGCTCATTAAGATCGATAGCTGCTCAAAAAAAGCTGTTGGTTCACGATTTGTATGGAACGTTTTAATTATCGATATTGATTTAAAGAGAAAAAAATATATATTTTAACACGAAAAGTCCAATGAAAAGGTGCACGTTATCCACATTTTTTGTTTGTTTAGAAAAATGTATCGCTGCCGAAAATCGTGAAAATCATTAGCGCGACCGATTTCAATTGGTGGATTTTCGTGTAAATAATTCATTAGTGTTGTTTACTTCATTTATAATCGCTACGTATCGAATTGCACTCTGGCACAGAGATTTCAATGTGTATTGATATGCGTTTCTTTTGAATCAGCAATGTATTTCTCCCACAAAATTGACCTCTGCGATAACACAATGCGCAACATTTTTGATATGGCTACAGGATGCCTGTCGACAGCAAAGGCGATAATATTGTTTCTATTTTTACCAACGAAGAAAAAAAAAACAACAATCACTCGACATTTTTTCTCTTTGTGATACGTATAAATAATAAATATATTAAACCAATTCACCAGACATTGTTAAATTATGTGTCGCTATGCATAAGATTCAAGTCAAGTGAACCCGTCCGAAATGTGTGTTTGCTTTGTGCATGTGTACGGTGGTGATGCAGCAATGCATTCAAACACACTCTTGAATTCGTGATGAGTTCATGTTCGTCGTCATCGTGCATCAGAATAATCACATCGTTCGAATGAGTATAATAAACGCTGGAAATGCAAATATGTGTGAGTGTAGAATTGTCTATGCCATGCTTTTTTGTTGCTCATAGTGCACAACACACAGCGCTGATGCAGGTAATTTAAGAATGGTGAGCAATAGTGTAGCAGCAGCACACATGATAAATGCACAATTACGTATCGAAGCCATAATACTGCCACAGAGAGTGAGACTTGTATACAAGTAGCAATAAACGAAATGCGACATAACGTTTTTTTCTTGGACAAGAAATTATGCTGACTCTCGTCTTGTTGTATGTGTATTTTTCTTTATTTTTCAAATGTTTGTTTATTCGCTCATCTTTCGTTCATTTATTTACACTGGAAAAAAATGTGATGTAAGAAATGAATATGCATACAAAACTTCGGCGATGACGACGACGACGAAAGGGAAACACACATGTCGAATGTAACACTTATTCTCAGCAATTATGAAAATGCCGAAACTGAAAATGGAACCGTGACTGCTCTCGATCAGTTGGCAGTCAACTGAGAAATGATCGAAAAGCCGCTTCAATTGTGTAATCAGCAGTGAGTCGATCCGTCAAGCTCAGTCTAATGTATCGTTTAATCGCTTTTTTCTCTCTCGTCTATTTCTGACCTAATTTTCAACTGAGCTCAGCGTTGTTCAGGAAAATTCCTCCGAAAACAAACTGTAAAAGAAATCAACGTTATTAAATTAAATGTATTCTATTAAACATTTTTCTACATGTTTAATGTCCATATCGACGGGCACAGGAACGAAAATGTGACTTTCATTCCGTTTGATGATAATGAATATTGTTCATGTTTGAGTCAGTGTTTATGTGTAAATCCTCACGCTTCATTTTATAGCTTGCGTGTACT